TGACTGAGCGAGTGAATGAATGAATGAATGAATGAATGGTGAACCCAGACCACTTTGGGGCCCATTAAATTGTCTGTTCCAAAATTATTCTCCAAATCTAGGGCTGTTTTTAAACTGGTCACTCACAGGTTTTGGTGGGAGTTACCACATGAGCAAACTGGCTCCTCGGCATGAAGTCTGAGGTCACCAGCCCTCGGTTTCTTCTTGCCCCTCCCGTCCCCACCGGGTCAGCCCCTCAGTTGACAGGTCGTTAGGATCTCTGGACCCTGCCCTTTGAACTTTCCTGCTCAAATACTCCCTAAAAGAATTTTATTTTTTTTAATACTCACCTGAGGATATGTTTTTTAATTGATTTTAGAGAGGGAGAGAAACATAAATGTGCAAGAGAAACATTGGTTGCCTCCCTAACTCACCCAGACCAGGGATCAAACCGGCAACCCTTTGGTGCCTGGGATGACACTCTAACCAACTGAGCTACCGGCTTGCTGATACCCCGAAGTTTCAGGTTCGATCCCTGGTCAGGGCACATACAAGAAACAAGTGCATCATAAATAAGTGGAACAACAAATCAATGTTTCTCTCTCAAATCAATAAATAAAAATTTTTAGGAAAAGAACTTTGAAAAGCAATGTGCCCCTCACCTATTCTTAAGTCAACAGCTAACATTTTCCATTAAGAGTTTAAACATTTGCCAAAACCGGTTTGGCTCAGTGGACGGAGCGTCGGCCTGCGGACTGAAAGGTCCCGGGTTCGATTCCGGTCAAGGGCATGTACCTGGGTTGCGGGCACATCCCCAGTAGGAGATGTGCAGGAGGCAGCTGATCGATGTTTCTCTCTCATCGATGTTTCTAGCTCTCTATCTCTTTCCCTTCCTCTCTGTAAAAAATCAATAAAATATATTTTTTTTTAAAAAAAAGAGTTTAAACATTTGCAATTCCTATGCTTTCCAGGGAATTGTCTTCGAGCAGCTGGGCGGATCAGCGCCCTCTCCTGGCCTGACCCTTTGAGCCGTCTGCAGACTCAATTCATTTCTTTTTCTTTTCTGTTCCACTTTCCCTCTAGAGTTTTATCCTAATGAAATTCTTTCGTTGTATCTTTTTCTGTGTATTTTATTGTATTTTTGGAAAGTCCTTATTGTATATCTCTGTAACAGAGATACGTGTATAAATGGAAGTGTATGTCCTGTGACCATGAGACTCTAAGTGTTAAAGTTATTCTGCAGTGAGCTTATAATTACAATTATAACAAGACACAATCGATAGGAACTACAAATATTGTGATGAACAATATTGATTGGTCTTCCTGCACATGGCCCTGGGAACGTCCGTGTCTCGGCAGGGGTCTGCAAAAACTATGAGCTAGTGAAGAGGGGCTTAGCTTGGCTTCCGTTCTCCAAAACCAGGGTCCCCGGATGCGGTATGGGTCTGAACCCTTCTGTCCATTACACTTCCAGCCGCCTGTACCTGAGTCCCACGTCCTGGAGCACATGGAAAGCCAGGAGCTGAAGTTACTTCCAATGTCTGTGGGGTGTAACTGTGAGGATGGACCTCATCATTGGGAAAGAATCAACCTCAATTCAAAATTAAGAAAACATGGTTTTTATTTCCATTTCACAGAAGCACCATCATTGCCTCCTGACAGTTCCTAGTGTATGCCACCAGGTGGCAGCAGAGAGCACAGAGCGTGAGGGGACCCAGGAAAGGGGCTTTGGGAGTGGGGGGGCGGGCGCAAGTAGAAGAGAGGACTGGACTGAAGTAGGGATATATGCTTATGCTGTTAGAGAAAGGGGGGATGTGGGCGCTAACTATGGCTCTCAGGAGGGGATAGGAAATGCTGAGAGCGCACCTGCATGACTGAGAATGCGATTGAGGGAGTGAGGAAGGAAGGGTTTTGGGCTTAGGCTAATTCAGGGGAAGCAGTAGAGATGGGCTCAGGCGGCCTCTGGGAGGTCTGTCTATCTGTACTCTTCCCGGGGCAGGTCATGGTCTGGCTCCTCCTGAGGCCAGTGGTCCGTCTCAGGGGCAGGAGGCCATGGGTTTTCTGGAGGTTGGGGTCCTGCTGGCCAGGGGTCGTCAGGCCGGGGAGGTTTAGGGGGATCAGTTCTAGGAGGCTTAGGCGGCCAGACTCCAGATTCTGGCGGGTCTCTGAAGGGACGACTGGGGCCTGGGGGTGGAGGGTCCTCAAAGAGAGGGGGTGGCCCTGGCCAGGGGTCACCGGGGATGGGGGCACCCTGAGGAAATGATGGGGAGCCTTCCTCCTGTCCAGCCTCTGCCGGTGGGGACGGGGGGTGGTCTCCACTGCCTGAGACGCCTATAGAGGAGGAAGGAGAAAGGTAAGAAGTGATGCAGGCCAGAGCCCGACCCAGCCAGCTGCAGGCCCAGGGGACACAGCCTGCCTGGGATGGACCACAGCCTGAGCGGACCCCAGACCTCAGAAATAACTCCCCACACATTTACAAAACACCGAAGTGATCTTAAAATGACATGAAAACCCTGTCCCAAGCCATTAACTTGACCTTTAAACTGAGATGACCCCCTCACTCCCAATAAGCTCCATCCAGCCCTGATTGGGTCATCCCACTGGCATGGCCCCTGTGCTGGTCTGCAGCCCCCAAATGGTCTACACGTTGGCCCCAAGTGGCACCCTGTGACCTCCACCCTCCTTCACGTAGACCTCAGCTCCGCACACCTGAATTCTGACCTAAATGGCCACATGGAGCTACCTCCCAACCGGCAAGACATGCGCCCTGAACTACACGCACCTCTCCCGTCCCTTTAATTCTGCCCCTCAAGCGAATTCCCAGAACCTCCTCATCCCTATGCATCCAGTTCACCCCTCCTTCTTAGTGGCCGCCTTCTTCGCACCTTGACCATCCCCCTCACCCCAAACGCACCCGCCTCTATTCCCAGCGCACCTCCCGGGTACAGGCAAAGCAGCAGGATCCCCAGCAGCTTCCAGTCGAGCCTCATGGCTGTCTTCTGGCCCCCAATGTCAGGGGTGGGCTGAGCCTGGGTGCCTGGGAACCCCAACAGGCTTTATAGGGGAGGAGGCCCATCTCTGGGGAGGGCCAGCCCAGTGACACAGGAGTCCCATCAGAGCCTAACCAGTCAAACACGCTTGGAAGGCCATGCTGACGTGTAGCCCGGAGGCTGGCGTCCCTCCTTTTTGTCTCCACTGTCATCTCTAATCACAGGGACTTCCGCCTCTTTCCTCGAAGCCACTGGAAGCCAAGGAATGGGAGCAAGCCAGCCGCCGGTGACTACAGGGCTGAGGGCAGGGCAGGAGGGTGGGCTCCTCTGAATGCCTGGGATGCACCAGGAGGGCGTCAGTGGTGTCAGAGCCCCGCCCTCCATGGTCTGAGCTCCCCCTGGGGCTCAGACCTCCCCTGGAAGGTCCACTCCCTCAGGACCAAGCAGCTGCTCGGAGCACACGCCCGCTCCAGGGCGGAGCACACACCTGCTCCAGGGTGGAGCACACGCCTGTTCCAGGGCGAGGGGCCTCGAGGAATTCCCTCCAGGAGCCGAGGGCGGGCCAGGAAGGTGAGGACTTCCTGATTCCTTCTCTCCACCTCAGGCTGTGCCAGCAGTCACGCCAGAGGCTCTCAGCGCAGTCATCCCAGCCTCCCGTCCTCCCTCTGGACCTCCTCCTGCCCCTCCAGCCCCCTCCTGACCTTGGCTCCAACTCTGCCTGCTCCCCCCCACCCTTTAGGTCTAAGTCTCAGGAGTCCTGCTGGGACTTTCCCTCAGGAAGGGCTCCTCAGCCTACAGGTGAGAAATAATGCGGCCAAAACAGAACTCACTTCCTCCCCATGATTTCCCCGCCAGGGCCTCCCCCAGCAGCACAAGACACCGCCGTCTCTCCGCACTGCCCCACGAGCCCACGCCACTGGCCCACACCCACAGCAGCCACCTCGGCTCTTCAAAATATAAGCTGAATTGTGTGCTGCTTCCGTTTAAAAAGTACTCAAACCCAGCCCTCGCCGGTTTGACTCAGTGGATAGAGCATCGGCCTGCAGACTTAAGAGTCCCGGGTTCGATTTCCGTCAAGGGCACATGCCCAGGTTGCGGGCCAATCAATGATCCTCTCTCATCATTGATGTTTCTCTCTCTCTTCCTCTCTCTAAAATCAGTAAAAATATTTAAGAAAAAAAAAGGACTCAAGCCCAGACGACTGGCTCAGTGGTTGAGCATCAACCTATGAACCAGGAAGTCATGGTTCGATTCCCAGGTTGCGGGCTTGACCCCCAGTCTCCCATCCCTTCCTCTGAAATCAATAAAAATATATTTAAAAAATAAATAAATAAAAGTACTCCAGGGCTTTCTGCAGACTCAGGGCAAGCCCTCCAGCCTGGCACAGCCGGACCCACCCCAGGTCCAGCCACGTCCCCGTCAGAGGCCGCCCCAACTCGACCCGTCAGCGCCTGTCATACCACCGTCCTTGCTCTTCTCTCATGGCACTTGTTTGAAATGCTCGTTGTCCATTGGGCACTTGTCCATCGTCTCTCCCAGGGATCTGCCTTCCCCTCCCCTCCCATCCGCCCCCTCCCCCGGGCCCTGAGTCGGGGCCCTGCCTGCCGAGTGGGTGAAGGTTTACCCTCCTCACTCTGGTGCTGATCACCTTCCAGAGGTAGAGTTTGAAACTAGAGAATAAAGAAAACCTGGGGCTTCTCACAAAGCTTCCCAGGGGCTGAGAAAGGCGCCCTCTGTGTGGGACCCCGTTTCCCGGCGGCGGCTGCACGGAGTCCCAGAGACAACACGTCTGTGCCATGGCTCTATTTAGTCATCTTTTTGAAAAAACATATTTTTATTGATTTCAGAAAGGAAGAAAGAGGGAAAGAAAGATAGAAACATCAATGATGAGAGAAGATCATTGATCAGCTGCCTCCTGCACACCCCCCACTAGGGATCGAGTCTGCAACCCGGGCATGTGCCCTTGACTGGAACTGAACCCGGGACCCTTCAGTCCGCAGGCAGATGCTCTATCCACTGAGCCAAACCGGCTAGGGCTATTTAGTCATCTTTATTGAGGCACAAAATCCAGACACCTTGGTGGCTGGTATCCCTGAGGGCAGGCCCCCAAACCTCACCCCATTTCACGATCCTCCTGGCCCGCTGGGCCCCCCTGAGCCCCCAGGCACTCCGAGCCCCTGGCCGCAAGAGAGTTCTGGTTGTCTCCTTGAGAAACGGCCTCCTCTTTGGAAATGGCCTCACTCAGACTCTTCAGGTCATCCAGCAGGACAGAGAGGGATTCTGGGAAAGACCAGGGGATGGAGCCAGACAAGAGAAGGCCATGAGGTCCTGTGCAGAGGAGCAG